CCCCACACCCCCCCGCGGCCAAGTCTCCGACCCATACAAGGGCCACAAGATGCAGACACCGCCACAAATAGTTCGGGCTCGCGGAGGAGGGGGGAAGGTCGGGCCGGAGTCAGATCCAAGTTCACACTCAGTGCCTGCTCCCCCGAGCCCGCGAAGAACAGCTGCCAGCCGCACAGCCCTCTCCCCGGCCGGCGCCGCCCCGCGGGACATCTTTAACAAGCCCACACAACCCTCACCCCAACCCTGGGTCACTAACTCCGCTTTACAGGTGGGGAGACAGGCACGGTGGCGGGTGGCTCAAGCCCCTGTACCCTGAGCCACCACACTGCTGCAGGCTGAGACAGGACAGACGTCAGAAAGCAAACTGTAAAGGCCCGGGCAGGTGGCAGGGGCTCCTGGACACACCGCCCAGAGCCCGAAGTGCACAGACAGCGCGGGGCACACGGTAGACCTGTCAGGACCCTCGCCAGATCCCCGCGCCCACCCAGGACGGGTGCAGGAACGCCAAGCTGGTCTCCAGCAGCACTCCGTCTCCACAGGCAGGAGACCCGGCTCATGCCAGCCGGTGCCCGTGCCCACTGCCGTTCCTGGCCGGGCATCCTCGGGCCCGCTGCCAGGAGGGAGAAGATTCAGCTCCCTCCACTTCCCACGACTGGGCCTGGCCAAGAGCTGGGAGGCTTCTGGCTCGCTGAAACCCTGGGCGAGAAGGGGAGGCGGGGGGTTCACCCTTGGTGCGGTGCGGGCGGTCAGACTTCCAGGGCGGGAGGTGAGGCGTGGCCAGATGACCCCGGGCCCCCAGCCCTGCCTCCCAGGAAGCAGGTGTCCCACCCACGCCCTGCCCCCAGGCTGGATCCCGCTCAGGAACTGCTCCCCAACCCTGCTGACCCGGATTCTATTCCTGGCTTGTGGTGGGGGAGGACAGGACTTGTGTCACTCCCGCCTTCTGCTGGTCCCTGAGATGCAGGCCTGAGTCCCTCTGGTTCCAGAGAAGGGACCGCAGGAGCGGAAGGTTCCTGTGGCAAGCTGGGAAATCAGCCTGGTCCAGCCCCTGGCTCCCTGCTGCCCTGGGCTTTTAGGATGAGGTCTAAGCTCAGCCTTCCCTCCCTGCATGGCACATCCTGGGTCCTACCGGACCACCCTGCTGGGGTCTACATTTAGATCCAACCTCAGACTCTCCCTCAGGTCCGTTCTCAGTGGTCCCTGCAGGGGTCTAACTTGTCCATCTGAGCTCTCTCCTCTGGGACCAGCCCCCAGCTCACGCGTCGGGGTGCCCGAGAGCTTCCTTCCCACGTCCATACGCACAGCAGCCTCACCGCGGCTCCCACTGAGGTCTGCTGCGGGATCTCACCTCTCCTGCTCTGGGGTTCCCTCAAACCCTCCTCCCTCCCTCTTCTGGGTGACTCTAGCATCCAACATAGAACCTGCCACAGCGCAGGTGCTCAACAAGTGCTTGCGAACAAAAGAATGGAAACAGCTGTGGACAATTTGTCCCGTGGACACAAGTTATCATCCAGCCAGTAATCATGGGGATGGAGGGGCTGGGCAGGACATCCCGCTTGGAATTAGGGGCACGGACACAGAGGGCAGTGGGTTAGATCTGAGGGGAGCACCCCCTCCTTGGGGACACTGATCCCCACCAACAGCTGCAGGTTAGGCCCCGTGGATGACCCAGGCCTGTGAAGCCTGGGGCTCAGGAGGCTGTGGTCTCAGCAGGTCCCTGACCCACCCTGCCCCCAGGCCCCTGTGCCTTCTGTCTCTTCTGCTCCACTTCGCGCTGAAGCCGGGTCAGGACCAGCTGAGAGGCTTGGATCAGGCTGTGCTGTGGGGAACAAGAGGAGGAGGAGCCAGGTGAGACAGGGCGAGGGGTACAGGGCAAGCAGACCTGCCTGCAGCTGGACACCCCAAGCCAGGAGCTCTGCCGACGTTGGAGGACAGAGAGCAGAGAACAGTGAGTACCTCAGAGAGGGTCCCTGAGACTGGGTGAAGGCTGCACCCTGGGCAAAGGCCTGGACAGAGCTTGTTGGGAGGGACACAGCACAGGCAAAGGACTGAGGTTGGGTGTCAGCGGGAGGGTAGAGATTGCACAGCAAGGGAGTGAGGTTCCCACCCAGAGGGTGAGGACAGGCCCTGGGGCCGGGATGCGGACTGAAGTGAGGCCAGAGCAGCAGAGCACAGGTCAACAGGGCAGAGAAGGGACAGATCAAAGCCTGAGGGACAGAGTCAGACCCCAGCGGGAAGCTCTGAGGTTAGAGCTCACTGGACAGAAAGGACATGAGGGTGAAATGGCTCGAGACAGACGGCTGTAAGGACGGACAGCCTGACAGATCACAGTGGGAGGAGCTCAGTCTTTCCCACTGAGGTTTAAACTGTACGCTTCTGTTAGGTCTAACCTCAGACCTCTCCACTAGGGTTTATCCCACTTGCTTTAGATTGTGGTCCAGCCTCAGACCTTTCCTCTGGGGTCTAACCTTTCTCTTTTCCCGAGGCCTCATCAATACGCTTCTCCTAGGATGAGAGCACAGGGAAAGGCCCAAGCACAGCCGAGGGTGTGGCAGCAAAGGTGAAGCCCCAGGAAAAGATCCCAGGTTAGACCACGGCAGAAAGGATCCTGGAGTCGGGTCAGAGGGAATGAGGATGCAACCACTCAAACAGGTGAGGCTGCACTGGAGGGTGGAGGCTGGGCCTGGGCCGTGTGAATGGGGTCACAGTCCTCAGTCTGCTGGGGGAGGCTCAGATGTCAAAGTACAGGGACCTTAACAGGAATTTTAGAGGTGAGATCAAAGGAGAAGGGCCCCAGGTTGGACTCAGCGGAAAGATGCAAACTGACTGAGGAGGGGCTGAAGGGCAGACTTCAAGGGGAAGGTAAGAAGTATGGTGTAAGCTCAGCACAGCAGCGCGTGTCTGCAACCTAGCTACGTGGGAGGCTGAGGCAGGAGGCTCACAAGTCCGAGACGAGAGTAAGTGGGATGCTGGGGACTGAAGGGGGACCTGGGGTAGCAGAAGTGGCATCGAAATCTCCTTCACTAAGCGGGTGCCCCACCCATCCTGGGAGCTAGGAGCGGCCTCTGCCGGGACCCCTCTGCCCATCTCTGGGCCTGGCTCCCTTGCTTCCTCCCCAGACCCCACCGGAGCAGGGGGCACCGGGCTGCCTGGGATCCCTGGGTACCTGCAGGATGTGCACCCCCTTCAGGGAGACCACGGCCAGCTCCTGTAGCCCATCTCCGGTCAGGTCCAAGTGTGCCATGGCCAGCAGGGGGCTCGAAAAGCTCCGCTGCCACAGTAGGCGGAAGCCATGCTTGGCCTCCGGGTGCCCCGACTCTGGGCTGCAGTACTTGTAGCAGAGCAGCTCCTGCAGGGGCGAAGGTTCAAGGTCATGTAGCTGATGGGGGCAGCACAGGGACATAGGTGGGTATGGAGGCCGCCTCCTGTGCAGCGCACCTGTCCATAAGTGGCCACCAGGACTTCCGGCCGTCCATCCAAGTCCACATCGGTGACCAGGCCACAGAGGACGCTGTCAAACTGGTCACTGCCAGGTAGGAGAAGCTGGTCCTCAAGGCCCCGGTTCAGCAGGTCCCTGAGGGCTCCCAGTGCCATGGGCAGACTGAGGTCAGGCTGCAGGGCGATGTGCATCGTTCCTCCTGCAGCCTGGGCTCCCTCGCTTCCAATACGGACAGACTCATGGTCCCAGCAAAGGGGCAGCCCTGTCACTCACACTGTTCCCCTCAGGGAATCCCCTTGTCCCCAACCTGGACACAGAGAGCTCGGCCCCAGCTCGGATGTCTCTCCTGTCACCAGAGTGGCTGGTGCCAGCTCACGAGAGCGGCGGGGACATTCTCTGATGGGCATCGTGTAGTGGCTTGAAATCCACCGGGCTGGGAGCATTTATACTGTGGGGAGTGGCTGACGCTCCAAGTCTGGGCCTTCCCGAAATCCAGACTGAAGTATCTGTGGCCCCTGCTGGGGTCACAAACGTCTTTACCTGCCCACTTCTGAACCCCCTCACCCGGGGGGAATTCCTGACCGGAACCACCGGGTTAACAGCGCGCGGTGCAGTCACCAGCCTCGGCCCAGTCCCTCACCGGTACACCACGGCCGGCTCCACCATGCTGGCCACGAGCACGCTGTACTCCTCTCGCCGCGGCCCGGCCTCAGCCTCTGCGGACGAGATGCGAGTGGGGAGGGCGTGGGCCTGAGGGGACGCGTTCCAGGCTCCTCCTCATCCCCGCCTCCCCACTCGTGGGAGGAACGCAGGCCACACCTCAGGGAAAAGGTTTGAGGTTGTGCACGCAGAGGTTAGACCACGGGAGAAGGCGTGACAGGTGTTAGACCACAGTTTGGGAAGTGTGAGGGGAGGCCAGAGCTGAAAAGCCAAGCCTAGACTGCAGTATGAGGGTTGGGGAAAAAACCCCAGGGGGGAAGTAAGAGGAAAGAGCAGCCCAAGGGACAGAAGACGGAGTGTAGTTAGGGAAGAGAGATCAGATCAAGGCCACAGGCACAGGAAGCAGCAGTCCCCGGGGAACGAGTGCTGGGCAGTGGTCAGTCAGCCCACGGGGATGAAGAGGCCACAGGGGAGCAGAGAAAGTCACTGTGGGGAGCGAAGGCCAGACCACAACGGGAAGGCGGAAGTGCAACTCTGGGGCCCAGGACTCACGCTCAGGGGCTGCGAGGTTGAACACGATCACGCGGGAGATGGGGCCGTCCTGTAGGACCGTCCACGTCTGCAGAACCTCTACATAGAGCCAGGACTCAGGGCCAGGCCGGCTCCCAGCCCCAGCTTCCTGCCCCCGCTCCAGGCCTGGCCCTCACCTCGGCGCTGCTGGTCCACGTGGGCGACTCGGACATAGCCACTCTGACAGCCCAGGGCTGAGAGGCGGCGTGATGTGCCGGGGAGGTTGTGGATGTCCAGCCAGAGGGCGCTGGTGGGCAGGCAGATGGACAGACAGAGGGAAGGACAGAGGCCCTCACCGGGTCTCAGCCCTGCCCCTTGGCTTTCTCAGGAGCATCTGCCCCTACCCTGATGTCTCCGAGGTCGCAGCCCAGTCCCCTGGCCTCTTTGAGGGCCTCCTACCTGCTGCTCAGGTTTGTGAGCTCTGGGAAGAGGTTTTCCACAGGCTGTTCCTCAAACTGATGCAGCCCCTCGTTCTGGGCAACGAAACCCGCCCCGAGCCCCTGGAGTCAGCTGCCAGTCTCAGGCCCGCGCCCGAGCGCTACTCCCCAGTGACCTCTGGCCGGGCTGTGTCCACACCTCACCTCCTTGTAGAGATGTATGGCCGGGTCATTCCCGCTCAGGAGAAACACGGTCTCCAGCTGATCCCCAACCTGGACCCTGAAAGCAGAAACCTCCAGGATGTAGAGTAGCCGGAGGGTGGCTAGGTCCATGAGTTTTAGAAATTTCTGCAAAAACCCTTGCCCACAAGAACCCCAGCACTCCGGGATTCTGACACCAGATCCAGGGAGAATCTCAGACTTGGCTCCTCAGGATCCTGGCTCCCCGAAATGCAACTGGTGGGAGCCTTCAGACTTGTGGAGCCTCCCCCATCGGCGCCATAGAAACTCAGCATGCTCGACCCTCCTGGTAAACCTCAGCATGCGAGGACCTCATTCATCCAGGGCCCAGCATTCTGCAAGTTCTGTTTCGTCCCCTTTGAAAGACTGGAACTTCTGGAAATGGCCATCATGGTCATACGTGACTCGGGAAGGTGGAACACCCCAATCCCAGCACCCGGGACATTAGTGCATCAGAAGCTCCACTTTTAGGACTCTAACTGCTAGACCACAGGTTGGTGGTCTAGGACCTGCAGCCCAATCCAGCTGTCTGCCTGCCTGCCTCCCTCCTTCCCTTCCTTTTTTTCTTTTGGTACTGGGAATTGAAACCAGGGTCTCTGCATTGAGCCACACCCCCAGCCCTTTTGTAATTTTTTTTTTTTTTTCAGACAGGGTCTCGCTAATCCCTAAACTGCCCAGGCTGGACTTGAACTTGTAAGCTTTCTACCTCAGCCTCCCACAGTGTTGGGCTTATAGGTGTATACTGCTACGCCTGGCTTCACTGCCCATTTTTGTAAATAAAAAAAAATTTTTGTACCAGGGATCAAACTCAGGACCTTGTTCTTGCAAGGCAGGCACGGTGCCACTTAGCTAAATCCCTAGCCCTGTTTTTCTTAAGTGGTGGGGATTGAAGCCAGGGCCTTTCACATGGTAAGCAAGCAGTCTACCACTGAGCTACACCCCAGCTCCTTGTAAATAAAGTTTACTGGAACACAAGCACTTACAGTGTCAGTGGCTGATTTCTTGCTACAATGGCAGAGTTAAGTAAGTGTGGTAGAGGCTGCCTGGCTCCTAAAGCCTAATATTTAATAATATTTATTATCTGGGCCTTTATAGAAAGATTTTGTGACAAAGAAATAAAATGGGTGAAACACTAAAAAAAGAAAGAAAGGAAAAAGAAAGAAAGATTTTGTGGCCATCCCCGCCAAGTTTGCAAACTTTGTTCTGCCAGACCATCAGTGTAAGACAAGCCCTGGAATGAAAGCCACATACTTTGAGATTCTAGAACTTCAAGGTTCTAGATGTTTCTTACTCTATGTCTTTGCAGTATGAGAATGTCAGGACTTTATATAGACTCTCAGGAGACAGTGGCTTCTATAGAATTATAGAACGCTCATATCTTGTAGTGTCAGAGCTTATAACTACAAAACTCAGCAGCTGAGTGTGGTGGTGCATACCTGTAATCCCAGCACTTAGGAGGCTGGGGCAGGATTGCTGCTAGTTTGAGGCCTGGAACTACTTAGCAAGACTCTGCCTCAAAAAACACAAAACAAAAACAAAACAACAACACCCCCCCAACAAACAAAAAAGAAAGAAAGAAAGGAACTCCGCATCTCTACATCTGGGAATGTCAGAATCAACTAGCATACAGGTGTTCAATGAACTCTCAAGTTATCTGATTTGGAGATGACAAGACGGTGGTGCCCTGGCTGTCTGGTCCTCGCTCACTTCAAAGACACAATGCTTTAAAAAGGAACAACAGAGCCCAGGCACAGTGGCACACACCTATATTCCCCGAACTCAGGAGGCTGAGGATCACCATGAGTTCGAGGTCAGCCTGGGTTACACAGTGAGTTCAAGCCCAGCCTGAACTACACAGAAAACTGTCTCCAGAACCTGGCTGTCTATGGGCAGGTGTGTCTCCTGTTTGCTTCAGTGCTCCCTGTGCTGCTGCACTGGGAGCTTCCTTCTTTCCTGTCCACCCCCAGCCACTCCAGCCATCCTAGTTTTCAATCCCCCAGTCTAGTGAGATGAGACCCCTTATTTTCCAGATGGGAAACAGACTCCCAGTGTAAGAAGGGGTCTGAAAACCAGGGTGCCAGGGACACTCACTCTGCATGGCACAGCTGGAAAGGCGTGAACTGCAGCTCCAGGTTCAGGCAGCTCTCTGCAGGGTGACACAGGTGGATGGGCCACTGGCACCTGCCAGGCCCCGCCCCCGCCCTCCAGCCCAAGGTCACACTCACGGGCAATGGAGTCCAGGTTGTACTCAGAGCCGGGCTCATAGTCACAGTAAATGTTAAGGAACGGGCTGCCCTTGTCCCCCGAATCCTGCGGGAAGACAGTGGCCTTAGGGACAGCAGCAGCAGGGTCCTGGGGCAGCCTGGCAGGACTCACCCCGCATGTAGGGAGGAGGGCATGGCTGAACAGAAGGTGTTCTCAGTACCTTGATGAATGTGATCCCCACTACCAGGCCCCGCTTGGGGGGTGACTTGTTGAAGGTGTCGATGGAAACAATTTCTGCATCCACTGGCAGGGGACAATTCAAAATTCACGTTTTAGGGCCTCTGGTACCTCTGATCAGTGATCACCATCACCGTCACCTGTGACCAATAGCTACCAGGACCCCCCCCCCAAATGTACTGGTGATTGAACCCAGGGCCTTCACACTGAACTACATCCCCAAACCTTTTTTTGTCTTGAGGGGGGTGTTGTTAGGCTGCTAGGTTGCCCATGATGGCCTCAAACTTGCGATCCTCATGCCTCAGCATCCCAGGTGTGCACCACCACTCCCGACACTTATCTCTATGCTTGAGGAATATTGAACCCTAAACACTTTCAGGCCTCTATCATTCCTGTCCCCGACCCCAGTGGCTGTCAGCTTTGACTCTATTCAGTGTCTTGATCCCAAACTCCCATCATGGTGATCAGGTTCCCACACTGCCTCGTGGGCCTTCTAGACACCTCATTCCATGATCCACCCCCACCCTGGCTCCATGGCGCCACGCACCGGGGATGTAGTTGAACTGCAGCTCCTTGGCCACCGGCCGGATTTTCTGCCGGAGGTCTTGGTAGCGGAAGCCGAGCACTTTGCCTTTAAGGGTGGCGGCCAGCAGCTCCCCACGCCCGTCGGCGCCGCCGGCCAGCCCGTACACATTGCTCTGCGAGGAGAAGCGCGTGAAGCTGTCCTCGCGCAAGGGACAAGGGCTCATGGCCACAGCCGTCTCCCCCATCAAGCCTCCACAGGTCGCGCAGTGGTCACTACTTCAGAAGTGATCCGAACCATCCAGCGCCCGACCAGCGCGCAGACTGATGACGCAAAGAAGCCGCAGTCGCTGCCTTCTACCAACATGGCGCCCAGTCCTCCCGCCCATTTAATTTTGTTCCAACGCGCCTGCGCACTTCTGCCCAGTCCAAAGCCGAGGAAAGGGGCGGCCAGGAGTGCGACCAGAGATGGGGGGCCACAGCTCCCAAGTAGGCTGTGGGGAAGGTAGATTAAGAAGAGTAAAAACAAGGGGCTGGGGATTTAGCTCAGCGGTTCGGTGGCCTGCCTTGCAAGCGCAAGGACCCGAGTTCGATTCCCCGTACCCAAAAAAAAAAAAAAAAAAAA